AATTTTTGATATAAATGTCTTTAAACGTGATTTTATAACTAAACAGTGTTAAAGCATTTTGTTTGGGACTCTTCCACATTGGTCAACTGGGCAAAACATTTTAAAAATTTGGTAGGCTGAATTTTTGATTATTTTAATTTTAAAATATTAAAATATGTAACTTATTATAGAAATTAATATGATCAGTTTTTAGTTTCTAAGATGCCCCTTTCTATCTAAATATTTATTTAATTGGCATTTTAAACTTGCCCCAAGAATAATAATAATAATCACAAATAGCCCGCATGTGAAAAATGTTCTCATGCTAAACTATGACAAAAGTAAATATAATTAATTAACAACAAAAAAAAATTAGGAAAAGCCGTTAAACATGAACATACAGGGAAAAATTTGTTTTCATAAATTATATAATTGATTTTGAACAGATATAGGAACTCTATGCTAGATCAATTGATTATATGGCATATAATACATACAATTTTCAAACATGGCTCGGTGCCTGTGGCTCAAGTGGCTAAGGTGCCAGCCACATACACCTAAGGTGGCGGGTTCAAATCCAGCCCGGGCCCGCCAAACAACAATGATGGCTGAAACTGGGAAAAAAATAGCCAGGCGTTGTGACCGGCACCTGTGGTCCCAGCAACTTGGGAGGTGGAGGCAGGAGACTCGCTTGAGCCCAGGAGTTGGAGGTTGCTGCAAGCTATGCCACGGCACTCTACCCAGGGGGACAGTTTGAGGCTCTGTCTCAAAAAAAAAAAGAAATTTTTCAAACATTAAAATATTAATCACCTCTAAATGTTTTCTTTTCTTTTTTTGAGACACAGTCTCATTATGTTGCCCTTGGTAGAGTGCTGTAGCTGTCACTGTTCACAGCAACCTCAAACTCCTAGCCTTAAGCAATTCTCTTGCCTCAGCCTCCCAAGTAGCTGGGACTATAGGCACCCATCACAATGCTCAGCTATTTTTTTGTTATAGTTGTCATTGTTGTTTGGCAGGCCCAGCTGGGTTCAAACCCGCTGGCGCCCTAACCACTGAGCTACAGACGCTGAGCCCACTAAATGTTTTCATATCCCACCACTGTTAATAATCTTGAAATTTATCTCAGTTATAATAATAATTATTTCTTCTCTATTATTCCCTTAAAATGTTTTTGAAGCAAAGGAACATAAAATATTTAATATCAGTAAAATATAGTCATCTGTATTATCCATAATATAAGTCAGAAATAAAGGGCGTAAGAACACACTAATGCTTAAAAGGTAAATGAAGATGTCAAAATCAAATTATTAATATTCAAGTCTACTGAGCAATAATAGCTCAATTGCAGTCATTTTAAAATTACTCTTTGGAAGAAAAATCTTGCGTAAATTATGAAATGAAATACATTTAGATAAAAATTCTGTGTGTCATGTTTTATGGCAAAGAATTCAAAATACGTATTAACCCAGTATGTAAAAAAAGCATTATGCAAATAAGCTGAGGAGAAGGCAATAAGGAAAATGGATTCTGTATTTCTCAGAACAAAATAAAATTGAAATGATTATATCTTATTAGATGAGATAATGATTTGGAAACAGAAATCAAAAGCTATATAAAGAAAAACTGAAATGATAACAAACATCAACAGGTAGATGTTTGGTAACATCATTCTTCTCCAAAAAAGATCTAATAATTACCATGCAATTCCTCTCAAGTCCCAGCAAATACTTAAGTCCTTTAAAAACTTTTAACATTTCAAAACCATTGAGTTTTTCCAGGCAATTTAAACATGTTATCCTACAATCTAACTGTGCATGCAAATTTTTAAACTTATGAATAATAAATTGATAAGAGTATTATTAGCACTTACAAAATAATTGCATTCTAATTGCTGACGTCACCTTAGTGAGAACCTACACTATATTAATCATGCATATTTTTTACTTTGATTGAGGCAAATGTGTGTTTTCTGTTAGTTTCTTAAGTAAGAAATTTCTAAAAATTTACCTTATGTAAAAACCAAATCATCACAAAAGTTTTCAAAGTTTGGTTACATATTTTAAGGAACACCTCAAAAAGAATGAGGTGTGACAAAATACACATATATGATACTATACATTTTTATTAGTGTTTTCAAAATAAAATATCATTGAACTCAATGCTTCACAATTAACATGGGTCAGAATGCATATATTCACTTTCAGATCATAAAAATATGATTATTTAACTCGTAAGTTAACATTAGAAAATCAAATGAAGACTGTCATTTTAAACCACCAATGGTGACACGCTATCCTCAGAAGTATCCCGCTGCACTTATCACTATGTGTAAATATAGTGAAAGCACGCACCCAGGCCTGTGCTTCTTTTTGAAGAGTTGGTAATATTAGAGCAATTACAAGAACGTTTGCTTATGTTATTGTTAACAAATTTTAAATAGAACTATGTAACTATAAACAACTCTAGATAAAAACACACACACATATATGTTCTATATTTCACAGCAAGTGATACTCAGTTCTTTGCAGTCAGTATTTTTAAAAGAGAAAAAAAATTCTAGGTGCCTTGGCATGAATTTTTAAATACTATCTCAAAGAAACTAAAATCATTTATTTATCTCCCCAGGGATATACTATTAAAAACACGTTTCAGAATACTTTAAAAAAAAAATCCAATGACTCATGTACTTCTGAAAGTTCTAAAAAACAAAACAAAACCAAAAAAAAAATAAAAACTGTCATATATTTAAAATAGTTTGATTAACAACTGCTCCAGTTGAACACTTAAAATTCCTACTTATGATGCATATCCCTTTATAATAAGTATATAAACATAACAGAAAAAAAAAATCTAACTTAAAATTATACATAAAGCCTGCTGTGTTTTCAAAAATGTTCATACAACCAAAAAATGGCAGCTAAAATAAGAAGAAATTTTTTTAATTTTATGATAATCCTGAATGATGTAAGAGATGCTCACATAATACCTATACGTATCATTTATAACCATCTAATTGTTACTCATCTAATTGTCTTAACTAGGATCAGTAGGATTCCTGTCTCCTTCAGAATCATTATTCAGACGATTTTTATATAAATTTATGTAAATTTCAGATAGGAAACTCTCTTAATGAGGCATCATTTGATAATTGCTGTCCTTTCTGTACATATGTGATATATATAACAGAAGACTAAAGCCAATCAAATACTAAAAATCTATGTTTATAACCTAGAAATCGTTAGCTATATATTAAAAAACTTCAGCAGTAAAATGTCTTAATTCAGTGCTCATGACTGTTTATCAACATATATATAACCATTAAGTAGCTTAAAACTGGATATCTCATAGTCCTAAACATTAACACTGGTTAATAAAATATCTAATATTTAAATATTTTAAAAGGTAAACACAGAAAACTAAATTATAACAAGGTGTGATCAGACAAAGAAGAAAAGGGTTACTTTTTTCATTCATCTATAAAACAAATTTATGACATCGTAAAGAACAATTTAACAACCAACAGAAGGTTCAAAGGGGGAAGCAAGAGCCTGAGAGAAAATGGATTTGTCAATGATTTTAGTCATTCAATCTTAGAGGGAAAAAAGAAAATGCAGCTTCACTTTGCAAATGAAGTAGGAAGCATAAAATCCAGTAGCCTGTGTGTGCATTCCTATTTATGTATTTAAACCTTGTTTCATTCGCAAATTATGCTGATCCTTCCACATGTAAACAGCCAATAATGATAGCCAGGCCTTTGGAAAATGAAAACACCACAGGCAAGGTCAGGGGGGTACCAAGTACTGCAGGACAACAGATCAAAACAGAATGATTTCTTATGTTTCTACTGTTTATATACTTAATTTGAAGATGATATTCCTTAGAAGGCATATAAATATTACCAGGAACATGCAATATAGTATGTAACAAAATATACACTTTTCAAGCAAACATACTATTTTCAGATATGTGTATCTATGTCAGGCAATCTGTAGTAGAGTTAACAGCCATTCATTCAATTCTTTTTAACTTATTTGTCAAAATAAACCTCTTTAGTCCTAAACTTCTTTATTTCTAACCATGAATTCACTACAGAGAATTTATATTTATTTAACTTCTTTTGATTAAACAACCAGGCTAGCAAAAAAAGATTAACATCTTTTTTACTATAAAGAGATTAAGCAACAGAGAGAAGTAAAGAGGAAGAGGTATTACTTTATTATTTCCCAAGTATAATTTTGAAAATGGGAAGCAATGACATTCTGTTTGTTACTTAAGCATCTTAAAACATTACAACATACAATAAGCAAAAGTGGAAATTCCCAAGTAGCAGACTAGCACATTTTAAACACACCAGCTAAAGCCGCCTCTGGCCACATGTTTTTTTGGAGTTCAGTCTCTTAAAGAGACAGTATCCTTGGACCAATGCCTACACAGGAACACATTTTCAAAATGTTTTGATTATTGAGCATCATCTTGCATTTCTTCATTCACATCCACACTAGGCCAACAGTGTTCTCTTTTAGTCTACTGTTACATCAAATTATTTTTATCATAATCCGCAAATAACTACATGCAGGCAATGATGAAATACCTAATAGTGGGAATTACTGTGAACAGAGGTGTCTCAACTAAGGGAACCAGCCTTTTAACAGCAAATTGTCTTGCTTTTTTTAACCTTAAAAAGATCATTATTTCTTCATTCATTTTTCCACCCATTCTCCAGGCATAGATGACAGAACATATATTTGACCCTACAACACTGGCAGTTGCACGAAGGCAATTTCATTGCAGAATGAAGGGGAAATTTTGACTAAGTGAGCTCAAATCAAACAATGAAATTTCAAACATTTCATCTTCTGTGTAGAAGGATGTTCAGGGAGGGTCCCATATACATACCAAAAAACTGGGCAATTTTAACGATTTTGCCTTTCAACATACCTGAGGGCACATTATTAACCTAACTCCCCATGGGGTGCTGCTACACATGGAAAAAGAGAGAGGGGAAAAAAAGTTTTGCTTACTTGGTGTACAAATACATCGACTGGAATATCCAAGGGGCTTCCCTCTCGGTTTATCATGGAGATGAATCCAAATCCCATGCGCACATTGAACCACTTGCAATGACCAGTCCCATGCAAAACCTGGGAAGGTTCTTCCTCTGCCGGCTCAGACAGTTTCCCCGGGTCTTCTCCACCACCTTTGCTCGCCCCGCCTGAGACGGAACAGGACAAAAAAAATTCAGTCTATAAGCCCCTACAGTGTTCATGAAAAGACGAAAAAATACTCGGAGGTAAAGAGGGAGGAGAGAGAGAAAAAAACGTTCATAAATGCTTTGATTCCTCCTTTTCTTCTATAGAAAATATTTTAAATAAAAGGAGTTAAAAGAAAAAAGGGGGAGGGGAAACTACACTATTCTATCGATCACTCCAACTTTCACGTTTCTGTACATACGTGCATTTTTTTCATTTAACTCCGTTTTTCAGCCACATATTACAGTATAGCCTGCAATACCTGTTATGTGGCTGATTTAACACTGATCCCATTTACAAACAGAAATTTTCAGCAAAACTAGCCTCTCCAGCCGACACGAGGAGGAAAGAGAAATCGTGAACATGGGTAGATTAATGCACATGTGGCAGCAGTGAATCCAGAGTTATTTGCAATGTGCATTCCCCTCCCCCCATAACTTTCAATTAAAGTTGGGGGTGGAATGGGGGAGGGGGCAGGTGTATAAAAGTTTTTTCGGTCTCACTTACTGAAAATGCACTTAATCACACACACACAATTCAAACAATAGCCCCCTGAAAGCTTTTCAAGTTGTGAATCAGTGTGGGCGGTACAAAACATTTTTGGAGATCTGTAACAATAGGTTTGCCGAAAGCCCCTCAGAGCGATAGGGGGTAGGGAGATAATGCCCAGTATTGGGGTAAAAGGGGAAGGGGAAGACCGGCAAAGAAGGTTGGGAGAGGGGGAGGGGGTAGAGAAAAGAAGAAAGAAAATCACAGTAAGACAATAGAAACGAAAATTAACCTTCGGCCATGTTGCCCCACCGGCCCTCAGCTCCAAACTGGTGAGATGAAAACTTTCCCTTTGGAACGGAGTGATCTTCTGCATCAATCTAACATCCTGATTTTGTGCGAACACAAATTTAGCTCGCATGGTCTAATGTGCTTTCCTCCTTTTCATTTTTTTCTCTTCTCCAGTTTCTGGCCCCCTGAGCACACACGTGACTTTGTCAATTACATGCTTTCTTGCTACTAATTTCACCTCGGATCCTTAAGGGGCTGGCAAGAGGAAGAGATAACCAATCGCCATTTCATCTAGGCTGACATCAAAATAATTTATGAATGAACACGAAAAACTCAAACATGTTATCTTAAAGACAATTTGGAATGCTTCTTTACGATAAATCAGATAAATGCTGATTTCGTGCTTCTACTTAAACACAATGGAGGGTCCTCGTGAACTGTCGATTTAGAAAAATGGCATAATCATATATGTGTACACGCGTGCCTTCCACATAGCCTGTCTAAAGAATCCCACGGGTGGGGGAGTCATTTAAATAAAGCAGCCGTTGTTACATTACTTTCCCCCTAAGAATTCAGCTACTTCCATAGCAGTAAACCTGCTTGGGACACTAATTTCATATTTAAAGCGATCTTAATTTCTAAAAGACCTAATTAACATTAATTACCTCCCCCATGAAACTTTAGGTAATGATTACAGATACCAAAAGGCAAAAACACACCATTATCCGACACACAGTGATGCCCTGAAGAAACTTCAACTTTAAAATAAAATCCTAACAATTAGAATCGCACGGGTCGGCGCGGTTTATCACATTGGAACATTTTCGAGGGAGTTGGTAAGGAATTGTACTTCACAGGTTGATCCGCCATCTCTTTCCGGGGGAGGAGATGTGATTAATGACTTCCTAAATAACAGCGCAGTTTTCCAGCCTAACGTAGAGGGAACCTCAGTGAGTGGTGATTGTTCCCCCAGAGCAAGACGTGCAGGGCCGAGGGGGAGGGGACGCAGGAGGAGGAGAGGTGAAGAGGAGCCGGCAGGAGAGGCGGCCCCGGACAGAGAAAGAGGTGGGGGAGACCCTGGGCTGGGGGTGTGTGTGAAGACAGAGGGGCACGCGGGAGAAAAAGGTGAATTCATACCATGCTGACTCGGACTCCGACATTTTAAAAGTCCACTACCAGTGGGTAGAAGAGGCGAATAAACGAAAATGTAATAACGGATTAGGCTACTGGGGTCCCTTCCCTGACTATCCCCCAGTTTCAAAATGCTTACTCTTTACCTTTCAAATAGGTTCAAAGGACTGATGATGTGGAGACGCTGACAGTATTACTGCCTGTATCGAATACTACACTAAATACTACAGATTAACTAGAAATGCTTTATTTCTTTTAAAATATATTAGCCGCTTTGAAATATTAAAGTACACCACCAGTCTTTCCCCACTCCACCCCCCATTTTCTTAAACAAGCAGTTTATGGAGAAACTAACTGCTCAGATACCACTTCCCTTCGGCTAAGCTGCAGAGCCGACCCTCCCCCACCACGCCCGCAATCCCCCTCCCCGGCTCTCCAAACAAGTCCACACTCTAACACTGCTTCACACAAACTAAAACGCAGGGATTGCCAATCTAAAAGCTTTTGAAAAACCCACATACACCTATTGAAACCCCCTACCATATGAAACAACTAAATATGGTTGAACTCATTCGTTCAGATCCGAAAGAAATGTATGTATAGAAAAACAAGTTATTTTCAGCTGTTTGTGATAAAAAGTGTCAATCAAAGCTGATCAATTTGGAAGATTTTTTTCGTCTATTTCCTTTGTTATTTCTGAGGAAAGAAAGCAAGCCTTCTCGTTTTATTAGGCAGCTGCTAGAAAGAAGAGAAAAAAATGCAAAACTCCACTGCTTTTGCAAGTACAACAAAAGCTCAGCGCTCTGAAAGAATTATTTACTAACTAAACATTTAGTGGGTATTATTTTAGTAGTATAAATTTACGACTAGGATTGCACTGATCATATTAACTTGTAAGGAAGTAACTTTAATGATGGCATCATAGGTTAAATATTTCACATGATATGAAATAAAGTAATTTAAAATAAGATTTTTTACATTTTAATAATTACTTTAAAAATCAACATCTGATATCAGAGAAAAATAATCTAAACAAGGATGTAAAGAGATGAAATACAATTATTTACAAAAAAGTAATTATCACAAAAACTCACAGGCTAGTACAGTTTTGTTAAGCATTTAGGGTAAACAACATTTTGTCTAAAAGATGGTTTTTAATTAGAAAAGTTTAATCATTATTAAAATCAGGAACACAATATGTATGTGGCATCAGAACCCTTGTTTATTGTTAAATTAGGTGAAATTCAAACCTATTACTACATACATGAAAAGTGTCAAATACCATAACTGAATGACATTGGATGGTATCCTTATGAGAGCCACAGGCTTGCCTGATTGGGGCCTCCAGTATTAGTGGAATTAAGGCAGGGTTCACTGGACTGGTCACTGGTGTCAGAGGTTATCACTTGTTCATTTCCTGAGAGGGACATCAGCCTTTCAAGTTGTGTAGAAGGCTTTTTTCCAACTGGGAACCCTGAGAAATCCTCTAAAATTCATTCACAAAGAATTTAAGACAAATGCATTTACATACCTGGGGGTGGGGAGTAAAAGAAAGGGGAAGAGAAGGGGCTAGGCTAAGAGTAGAGGGGGAGAACAAGTAAGGAAGGAAGTTGGAAAGGAAGGAGACACAGAAAAGAACCACTCACCAATTCAAGAACATGGCACTGTCTTTTAAACAGATTCATCTTTCTGCGCCTTCCCCCAAATCTTTTGAGCCTACGATCCTTTTATAAACTGACCATAAGCTCTTAAAGCTCAGAGTGCTTCTTTCACATAAAACCGTCCCGTGAGTCTCCTAGAATGCTTTCCAATTTGTCACTTTCCTAGTCTCCTGGTTCTAATTTTTTTCTCATTTCCTACTTTCTTGTGTGTGCCAGAAAGACCTGTTTGACTCAAAACGCCTGCTTTATTCCTACAAAAGCAAAATGTTTTACAGCTTGATTTATCATAGTTCTTTCAAAATGTCTTTAAAATCAGTTCAAGTAGCTACAAAAGAATCGTCAACACACCAGGGGGAGGAATGGAGGAAATAACCTATTGTATGCCTGGTGGTGATCACAATCTTAGGTTTCCCCGTTTAAAAAACGAGGTACATATTCCATCAGGGGTGTTTTTTTTTCTGTTTTTTGTTTGTTTGTTTGTTGCCCAGTAGTACAAGGGTCCGAAAGAGGTGCCAGAGCCCACCGTGAACGTTTTCAACTATAAGTAATGAGCGACTTCTATTAAGCAGAAACAAAGCTCGGGTTCTCGTTAAAAGCAGAGAAGGGGCCGCGGCGTAGCTGCGAGGAGCGGCCCCACCCGTCCTCTCCCAGCGGCGGACAAGGCGGGGTCAGCCCCCCGCGCCACCTTGGCGGCCCGATCCTCCCGCACGGCTCGCCCGGGTCGCCGGGACTCCAGGCCAGCATCTGCCCAGTCCCTGCCCCTCCTGCCCCCGCACTTCCCCTCACCTTTCCCTCTTCTGCCACCTTTCCTTTATTCATCCCATCTACACCTCCTCTCTCAAAGTGGAGCCGTGGTGATTTCTGGCTAACTACGGGACTTCTTTTATTTGTCAACTTGTCCCAAGGAACACCAAACAACAACAACAAAAAAACCTTGCCTTCATCGCTATGGCAAAAACACTACGCACGAACTACTCCTTCTCCTGAATTTCCTCATCCAGGAGATGCCAGAAGTCCTTAAATCTAAGGGAGGTTAAAGAAAGAGGGGGAATCAAAAGCCAGGAAAATGTCCCTGACCACCTCCCCACCCCCAGCAAGCCATGCTGAAAATGGCACTGCCTTTAAACCCCGGCGCAGTGCCTTCGGGAAGCCACGAGTGGGGCAGCCACCGTGGCAAACGTCGTGGTGCGTCTTTGGAGGATCAAGGCGAGACTTCGGGAAGGGGCTGAAGGCGCAGCCTGGGGCGACTTTTAGTCACCCTCCCTGTCCTCGGTGCGATCTTTCCTGCCACAAAGCTAGGGACCTGCACGTCGGGCAAATTGTTCCTGATTCCTCCCTCTGTGTTTCAATAAACTACTGGGCAGTAACTTTCTTGACATTCTTACAACATGGAGTCAAATGAAAAAAGTACCGGGCTGGGTGCGTTGGCCTCATAGTGGAGGCACTATCGAATATGCTAGTGCTTTGCTTTTATTAACAAAAAGCAAAATTCCGTTTTCCTCTCCTTTAATTCACTTATCTAAAGGCAAAATGCTCTGGCTTAACACAATTGTTCCAGTTTTAGAATTTTTACAGAGCTGTAAAAAATCTCCTAAAATTTTCCTAAAGTATCTTAACACATTTCCCCTAGAACAATTAAGTAAAATTATGGAAATACTGAAACAGATAAGAATAAATTATAAGTTTTCCAGACAAATTGCCTTTATATTTCAAAAAGCAAGCATCTGCAAATGCATCCTCCTCTTTGGTTAGATGTTACAGCAAAACAGAACAACAAACTTCATTCAGAAAAGGGGCATTATTTTAAAACCACCACTTTGTAGAAAGCATCCCTTTTTTTGGTCCTAATTTTTTTTTGTTTTGTAGTAACTATCCAGTGTCTTTTTTTAAAAAAGTGGAATATCAAAAAATCATAATTATATTAACATACTTCTCTTCCAATGGCAAGTAAAAATACTTTATGATTACTCCTCCCAAATACTGTCTAAACCGTGCTCAACACTTTATGAAACGATTTTAATTAAAATAGTAATAGATTAGAAAAATCATTAGTAGTAAGTTTTACATAACTTTGCCCAGAATAGCACAAAAGAAAGCTTCATGTTTTATTTGTAAAATGAAAGTCAGTATTTTTCAACTGTTCTACTTCAACATGTGTTTCATAATTTAAAGATCTTTTTGCAATAAATATTGAGATTATGGAAAAAATAAATAATGTAAACATATAATTTTCCCTCTTCCAAAGCAATGAATGAAAGTATGTGTTTTAAAACTTGATTTCCTCAAAAGAAATAATCAATTTAAATAAGAATGTAGACTGTGCCCAGGTACCTACATCAATATTTACATTTTGCGTTTATTTGGGGGAGAGGGCAGGTATATCATAAATGAAAAAGAAAAGAACAGTAGCAGGGTAAAAGATGGGACAATTGAGAAAAATTCTTCAGGCTCTTCAGATGCCTGTAAATCTACAGAGAAAAAGCAGACAGCTAGAAAACAGTGGCCAGAGTTCTGGTCCCATTTGCTAATCTTGTGGCCTTGGGCTAAACACTGAACTTCTCTGGGCTTCTGTTTCCTCATCTGCAAAATGAGGAGACAGAACCAGTTGATATTTAAAGTCTTTCAGCTTAAAATATAATCTCTAGAAATAACCTTTCTTTTGGTGAAAGTGCTACCTCACCCTACTCACCCCTTTTAATCACAAGGAAACACAGACGTGAAACTTTATTGCAGTCACTTAACACATTGGTGTTAACATTATTTCCCAGTATAAAAGAAAAAGGTTTCTAGACTGTCCCCAATTTGCCCCCAGAGAAAACCCACAATCAATAGGGGGGAGGGGGAGTTAAATAAATAAAAAGAAAAAAACTGTTATGGGGGAACTAGTTGGTATACTGTAGGAATTTGTGAGAATCTTCGTTTTCATGATACTCATTACAGCAGCATCTCCATGTTAAAGAATTGACTTGGAAAAGAATAAAGTATTTTCAAATGGCAATACCTATCATGGTTTCCTTATGAAGCCTTTGGTCCTGACTGCTTTCCTTTAATACAATCCAATATTTGATAAGTTTAATAACACCATTGTACTTGTACTTATTACTAAGGTTCATAAACTTGGCGAAATCACAGCTCTTAATGTGCAAATTGTCTTCAAAGTCGTACAAGTTAAACCAGAGTAATACATTATCATCAAATAAAATTATTACTGGGGAAAATAATTTAAGTTTTAAATCAATTTCAACAATGTAAGGAAAGTATTTATATGTCAGAAGTCTAGGTTTAAAATGTTAAAAGTTGAAATGACTCAGTTTTGCAGTATGATCATTAGAAGCAAATTCTGATACATGTTCATGAAAAGCAACATAAAGTTACCCTGGATTAGAGAAATTCCCTCAACATAGCAAATATATTGCACTTTTTATGTTAAGGTAAAATACTTGAAAATAGCACCATATTTCTGTTTTTAATTTAATTCAACAGGCATTTGTTAGTGCCAATCTCACTTTGGGAGTTGCAAAAATGAATAAGCTGTGAATACTTTTCATTCATCCCCATAAGCATTTAGATATTTATTATCTATCTAGCTCGAGTTACAGAAAAGAGAATCACAAAATCTAATACTACTGAATTCAGGGAAGAAATGAGTTAATTAGAAGATGTCATCCATGTAATTCCTGTGGGAATCCCAATTTTTATAAATGGAGTGGCCAGGATGGAGTATGTAGGACATGGCACCCATCTTGCCAAATTAGAAAGGGGGGAGAATTTCTGAGGGCTGTCAAGTTCTCACGAGACTCTAGTGGTATTCTTTAAACATCAGTTAAGCAAAATACTTCAATTAAAAAAAAAAAAAAAGACTAACCTGGGGCTGATGAAACCTGGTTGAATGACCTCATCGTCTTCTGAAGAACCTAAAATCAGAGAGCTCAAGTCAGTACTACATTAATTGCCTATTTAATTGCCTCTTCTTCATCTTAATGGCTCATTAGAAACCAATAAAATGCCCAGGTTCAACTCTGCCAAGAGACCTGTCAACTTTTTTTTTAACAATTAAAGACTTGCCTACCAAAATTAGATAACCAATTGTCATATCCGCCTTTTACTTCTACTATAGGACACTATTTTAATAAACATTTAAAACATTTAAGACCATTACAATGAAGTCAAAAGATCCTGATTCCATTACCAATATAGTTTTAAATTTTAATTTTACAGTGTAATTTAAGAATCCCAATTTTTTTCAATCACAGCTAAAATCTACCTAACCGGGAATATTGTGTTTTTGATGAATTTATTCAGAAGATAAATTATGAGAATTTGATTATGGTACCACACCATTAACACTGGGGGTCTTTCTTACATTCAAATGAATGAAAATGACTTTAATGGTAATAATTTAATCACATAGTATATTTAAAGACATTTAATATGTATTAACCATATTTTAAAAAGCAAAAACAGTTCTTGTTTTTAAAATGTGTAAGTAATGATATTTCTAACACCCACTGGCAGATGATACAACACAATGAAACCGGCAATAGAGGCCACCGAGTAATGAAGTACAGCAATTAGAAGAGAAACTCCTGATGTTCACTGAATTACTATCTGTATCTTTCAATCAGTTATTACGGTCTGGAAAACCAATTGGTGTGAACGTGCATCCACTCACCTATCACCCAGGGTTGTCTTTCTCTCCTTAACTAAGTTTTACACGCTATACCTACCATATCAAATGCAAGAAAATAAACCATTCTGTGTAAATTCCTTAAGTTGCAAGAAGGAAAATGCAAGTTTTCCATATGCAGAGTACTACTGAACGTTGACCCAAGATTCTTCTTCCAAAGGATGACAGTCCCACTGAGTAAGATTTGAATAGATGAAGAATGGAAAAGACATGTAAACCTCGGTACATTAAAGCCTTCCGTTATCCTGTTACAACCAAAAGATAATGACAGACCCTAACTGACAAAATTCATTACTAGAACTTATCAAAATAGAGCCTTCCTTTACAGAGCCTGCAATGTTTTATTTGCAAACTTGGCTTATGTGTGGGTGTCTTTAATTATCACACGTGAACATCTCAGCACAACCCTAGCCCATGCCTTTCTATTCTAATAGCCCACAGTCTAGGCTTAACCTTCTCTGTCTGCTTACATTTACAGAGAAGAACAAATCGTTGTATTTTAAAGATGTGTAAATACCATAGGTAGGGTTTGTAGACAAAAAAATCCTTCTCCACTAGTTTGGGTGAATTTTTGTAAACCGTAGATTTAACAAAGTCAGAGTCAATTAACATAAGTTAGCTAAATAATGCCACTTAATTCAAGAGCGCCAACTATAAACTCCTGGGATTTAAAAAGTTAAAAAGCCAGTCAATTTGATGGATAAAAGTGTTCGGATATTTCACTACTCTTATGTATTTTGTTATTCATACTTTTAATATTTTCAAAGGAAAATAAGGCAGGATTGTTTCACAGTATATTTCATCTTATCTAGATAAGGACTTAAAATTTTTCAAAAACAGAAGAGTTGGTAAAGAAAACAGAATTAAGTTTAAATAAGGACTTATAATCTATCCATCCACTATCTAAACAATAAGTATAGAAATGAAATAAATATTACATAAAATATTTACAAATTTTTTTGAGACAGTCTTACTCTTGCTCCAGGCTAGAGTGCCGTGGCATCAGCCTAGCTCCCAGCAACTTCAAACTCCTGTAGTCAAGTCATCCTCTTGCCTCAGCCTACTAAGTAACTGGGATTAGAGGCATCCCTTGTTCTGTTTTTTTTTTTTTTTTCCTCCCAGTAGAAACAGGGTCTCTCACTCTTGCTCAGGCTGGTCTTGAACTCCTAAGCTCAAGAGATCCTCCTGCCTCAGCCTCCCAGACTGCTAGATTATAGGCTTGAGCCACAGTAAATGCAAATGCTCATATTCTTGCTCTAGGTGACTACTTTTTAACAGACAGTTCATTAATTTTTCTTAGAAAAAAACTAAAAAACTGAAATCCTGACATACACTTCTCTGCCCCTTCACTAAAATGACCCCTGTTCATCATTTAGATCTCAGAGCTGTTTTTCTTACTGTTACATACTGAGTACAATGTCTCTCCCATGCAACACTGTAAAACAATTACTTATAAGTCAATGCAATATGTTGTTGTCGCCCAACTCAATTCTATGCTCTGCAGTGACATTGTGTACATTTACCTTATTATATTAATTCTGGCATTATTTAGGGTTTATTGTATTTTTTGAATGAATCAATGACTTCATGATTCTATACCTGGTTTGACTATCTCAAGGATGGCTTTTATTTTCAAAAAATGGAACTGTACACAAAATTTTTTAAACTATATTTTCATAAAAAAAAGGATGTGATAGGTGATTAATCTTTTGATTATTACAAATATAAAATAATTATGAGTTTTATTTTGAATATACAGATTTACTGCTTTAGGGTAGCTAAACTTGTAAACATTCTTACCTACACTTCGTATTTCCTACTAGAAGGTCTAACAATATTCTCCTGAAATAAATTATGTATGATTCATTAAGATTCACTATTGTAACTAAATGTAAAGGAAAATGATTGCTACCATAAATTATTTCACTGCCAAGCTGTAAAGCCCAGAGAGTTGGTAATGGGTAAAAATAAAATACTACTACATAACATATTACTCAGAACTTTATTTCAATTCAGTTCACATCACATTAACTTTTACTTCTAATACTAACAAAATGCAAAACAATCAAGAATGTTCACCATAATAAAATAAAATTTATTTCATTACTCATTCTGATAGCCACAACTTTTATACATTTAAAAATATATTTAAGATAAATTTTATTTCCATTATAATCAGTATTTTCTAAAATAATGTAAGCCTAAAATACACCGTAACTTATTAACTATTCACTTTATGGTTAAAATAAGTCTATTTACAGTATGTCACAACTATCACTGAACTAAATACTCTGTAAAGTAAAGTAGACAACAATGTATTTTTCCTTCTACGAAGAACAGCTGGGGGAAAAGTTTTTAAATACTACCGCTTAAAATCATAGCAAGCATACTACACAAACAGTAGAGTAAAACCTAACACACAATACTTACTACATGCAACATACATACATATTAAATAAGATATTAAATATGGACTGAAGTTCAACACCAAAGTGAATGTAGGTGCTTTAGAAAAGAGCTTTTTTACATTGTCCTCTAAGGAAACATTTCAAATATTATTAAAACTCTTTCACTCCAATTATTTTTTTACAAATTACTCAATACACAATACAAATTCTACCTAAACAAGATCAAGATAAATTATTTTGCCATTTAACTGAACATCCTATTGTACTGTTACATGTAACTGTAACTGCTGCTGATGTTGCATCCTCAATCATACACAAGTACAAAAAATTAAAAGAAAACCATCTACTTAAAATGAAAGTAAAACAAATATTTACATGAGACCCTACACAATTTTAAAATCATAGATTATTAGTTATAAAATAGGAAGCTTCAAAGCTAGTGAAATATTTTTTGAAAATGATTAAGAGAATAAAAATGTATTAAATAAAAATGTTATATTAAGAAAATATTTCAAAGTTGTATTCTTTTTCACATGTACAACGTATATGATTTAATGTATAATACATTATATGAAACACTTAACCTTGGATGTTAATATTTGTAGCATTACTGAATTACAGAGATGAATTTAACTTTCTCAAAGCATTTTACAAATTAGAAAACCAAATTAGTTATTGGTTTCTCGTAAGGTATAGGCAGCTCCATCATTTCCTTCAAATACTGTAATAACAAGGAATTTATCCTAGAAAATCAAAACTCCAATGAATAGTAATTTCAGTCATCTGACATACTGTCAAGAATGTTTAACAGCAAGGATTATGGCACAAATATTAATTGCTAAATCAGATTTTTTCACTTAAATGTAAATGTCGTAACACAGTTGAGCCACAGCACAATTGGTTTTGCTAACGTAAATGTTTTCTATTTTTCAACATATTAAACAATAGATTGATATAATAAAGCTCATAGCTTGCTCAGTCATTGTTTAGATGACATTAAACAGAAGAAAATTTTTAAAAAGCAATAATGGTTTTAAATCTTTAAAACAGACTCAAAATAGTGACTCTTGCCTTCAAAGAACTAGCAACACATATTTTGAAGGCCCGCCATAATTTTAAGATAAAATCTTTACAGCAGCTCCTTGATAAACAAAAATGATTCTAGGTAAAACGGAACACTTACATTTAACTAAAATATTAACAAAGTTTTAGTTGACATATATTTCAAGTTTTAATACACAACATTCTTAATGGTTAAAAATTTACAGTATCACCAGATCAACAACTGAGAACTTTAGTGCATTCTAAATATCATCAATAAACAATTTAATGTAATAAGGATAAAAAGATTTGGTTTCTCAGCTTTACAACACTGAGAGTGACCTAATGAGGTAGTAAGTGTGGTATTAAATAAGGTTTTAACTAACAGAGAAGACACTAACAGACTAATACAAAAAAGATAAAATATAATTTAGTTTTTATAAAATTTTATATCTATAAAAGAAAATATATCTAACCTACCAAGTTTAGAATTTTGAGCTGAAATGTTTTGTAGAGTCTAAACGAATGCTGCATATAAAATATTGTTTGAGAAACAAAAAAGTACCACTTTAACTCTTACCTTCACAAATAAGTCTGTGAAAGAAATACTGATTTGAAAATATCTAGAAAATTTTAAACATGTTTTTCTACCATTAGAACTGGCCATTCAACACTAAGTCCTTTTTCCCATATAATTAAGCTTTTGTTCTGCTAAGAAAAAACTAGAAACTGATTGCTTGAAAATGAGCTGCATGCCCTTTGT